ACTGTGAAAGCCATGGATGGCTACCAGCAGTAACGGATTCCTTTTATGTGATTTTTAAAACATAGATATTGATGGACTCACATCCAAGTAGACCAATTTGGCAATGCCGGGTAAGTGAAAGCTCGGTGCCTCAGTTTCCCACTTACCAAACAGACAAAATAATGCCACCCCTCAATGTTGCTGTGGAGATTAATTGATTAGAACATAACCTGCCAATGTAAGCACTGAATGAATGCTATGACTGCTTTAAGTTAACAATCACGTAGTGATGCTCTCATCGTTTAATTTCTCATGGACAGCTTTTAAGTTTTATATACACACATACACACACGATGAAGCTCCAAAAAGTCGGTGAATTGGGGCTTGATCTGATTTTAAATATTTTTGTGGGGGTTTTTCCCCATATTGGGTTTTATCTGTTGTATTTTGTCATTGTTCGTAGCCGTCTTGACTCTCTCTTATGCAATTTTCTGTATTTTTTGGTACACAAAACCCAAGACAGGTGAATCTAGAGAGATAAAACCTAGAATAATGGTTCCTGGAGACTATGGCAGGGGAGGTGGAGGGGGTGGGTGGACTAGGGGGAGCCAATATCAAGGAGTTCAAGAAGGAAGAAAATGTTCTAAAACAGATTTTGGTACCAACTGTACAACACTGCCTGATCTGATTGAATTATGGAATGGTATAATGCCTGGATTAGCTCCTAATAAAATGGTTTGGAAAATAAAATAAAATGGTATCAAATTGAGGGGGGGAAAGTTGGTGGAAATCTCATTTTTTTTGTTGATTCTATTTCTCCACAGTCTCTCATACATACACGAAGATAAACGTTAATTGAAGGCAGGGATTACTAAGGCTAGTCAACATTTATTGGCTCAGGTACTTGTAGGAAAAAACAAACCTAGTGCACTCCAGCTTTGACAGACCAAGAGAGCACAGTTATTACATCCACGGTGCAAGTGGCACCCAAGGAGCACGGACAAGGTGAAGATCTTGACTCCTGACCCCTGAGAGATGCACAGGGAAGCCTCGCGGTGTCTCATCTCTACCCGCTGTTGGAGATGCTGCTAACTCTTCCCAACCTCTCCGGCCTTTGGAACAGGATGCCCACCACACTAAGACTGTTGATGATTGTGCCAGGGCTGTACTCCAGGGTGTGCCGAGGGCTGCCAGCACCTCTGGAAACTAAGAGAAAGGCATGGACCAGTTGCCCACCTTCAGGGAAAGCATAAATGCCAGCATTCCGATTCCTGACTTGCAGCCTCTAAAACCATTAGAGAATCAAGCCCTGCTGTTTGAAGCTAGCCAGTGTGTGGTCATGGGTCACAGCAGCCGTAGGAAAGAGATGCACCTTGGGATGGGCTAGGGTGACCTCCTGACCAGGGAACTCTTGGGCTTCTACCCAGCCAGGAAAAGGGGGACAAGGAAAGTCAACGCCCAGAAGAAAAGCTAGAGGAGTGCCAGGAAGCCAGGCAATGGCTGCTGTACAGACAGCAACGTGGGGGCCTGGGACCCTCAGCATGCACCGCTCCCGCGAAGCGAGGCAGTGACTGAGCGGCCCAACTGGAATGCTCAAAAGGGAAACAACACATCTACCTACAGGGCAACAGAAACAATGTGATCGCCCAGACGTTAATAAATCCACACTCTGGCTGGACACCGTGGCTGCAACAATGACCTCCAGCATAGCAACTGTGAGCTGGCGCCGCACGACCGCTCACACTTTCGTTCTGTTGCACACATGTGGCTACGAGCGAGAGCTCACTGCAGGGCACCTGACCCGCAAAGGGAGTCACAATCAACACACTGGTGCTGGGTTTGGCATCATCATTTCGTCATGACTTTGTGCATGCTTATACTTATTTTTATAACCTCTTGTAAGAGTCCGAAAACAACACGTATGTATCTCTATCTCAATCTGTGTACTGTGTAGTGCATGATCTGATCATGTCTGGACTTTGTACCACAGAATGGGGATTACAAAGTAAAATGATTCATTTTGTGGTCTGAGCCAAGAGGATTAAGCAAGAAGCTGGTCACCATTGACTTGCTGGTCACAGTGTTACCAAGAGGCCCAAGAACCTAAAACAAGCTCTGAGAGTGGTGTGACCTAGGTAGAGAGCCCTCAGGCAGGTGAGGGGACAGTTGAGGGCTCTGATTTGACAAAGCTTTAGTCAGCCCGCCTCAGTGTAAAGCCTGCAGAGTGGGAGAGGAGAGGGAGTCAGCTGTTCTCTCACTCAACGCCGACGCAATTCCTGCAGTTGGAGCTTACAACTCTGTAAGGTATTGAACAGAAAGGTACCAAGTCTCTAACCTCTCACCTCTCAGAGGGTTAGAGCCCAGGGAGTTCTCTACTGCTACACTAATGAGATTGCATCAGAGTAGGCTGGATCCTTCTGAGTCCTTAGACCACACCAAACCCAGAGGTACTCCCGGGAGAGCAAGGAAGACAGGTGTGTCTACAAGCCCAGAAATACCAAAGCTCCTAGAAGCTGACTTTGACTTAATGGCTCTCCTTCCAGAGCCATGCCCTAGATTCGCACACCTCCACTCCTGGGGCAAGAAAGTACATTTCTGTTCTTCAAAGCCGTCCGCTCTTGGTCTGCCTTTCTGGCACGCTGGGTCACGAAGAGCACCCCAAAGACAGCCAGGAGGGTCTCCGCAGAGAACCCGCTCTCCGGGTCCAGAGAGGCATCCGGCAGGAGTCTCATTGAGGGTCTCAGTTTGGGTTTAGGTTCTGATTTTAAGTGAGTGGTGCAAGTGACCGATTAAGCAAACAGACTCAGCGAAGAAAGGAAAGCAAGTGGCTCATCAAAGTGACAAGTGCCAGGGGATGTTCCCTGTGCTCATGCAGATTCAGAGCCTCAACAGCAGAGCTCAGTGATTCACACCATGTCATCTGCCTGGACACGTGTGTTACTGTGCACGCATGTGCATCCGTGCACACAGCTCTCCATCAACAATGGGTTTTGTCCTCCCATGGGGATAAGGGACATAGTCGTGGTGCCTCCAGGTTCTACCTAACATCTCAGCCACTGTGGCAAAAAGAAAGTGACTTTATTGGCAGCTTTCCAAAACATGCCGCTAATTTTGGGGGGTGCTGCAACAGATAATTTGGGCTAGTATAGACCAAACACCTGGCCCAAGGAAAATGCTTGTGCCTAGAAGAGACCGTTCATGCCTGGGGACAGTGCAGTCCCTGTAGGGTGGTGGTGTCCCCATCACTCCACCCCCAAACACATACTCCTGTGGCTTAGAATGGGGAGATTGCTTCCCAAAGGAAAGTCAGGGTGCTGCTCCCAGAGCAAGGCGGCTGACGGGGTCTTGGCCGGTGCAAGACAGCAGCTGGCCATGCCAGAAGGGTCAAATCTGGCTGAAGCAGGGTTACGCAAGTCTAATGGGGACTTCCTGGGGCACCGTAGGTCCAATGCCACCAAAAAGACCTACCAGGGCTACAGGGCAGGCACAGATGCCCAGGAAACACAACCGCCCTGTTCTAGCAGCCCAGTAATTCCACATTACTGCTCTACCATCTGGAAGGTTTTCCCACCCCATGCCCTTCAGGGGTCACCTTGAGCCAAGGCTGACTTGGCAGTCCACAGTAAGGAAATGTTTCAATTATGCTATAAATTTTTTCTTAATAAAATGTTGAGCAAAGAAAATAAACAAAAGCACTAGCACCCTAACTCAAGTGATCTTTTCGCATTACCCAAAACACTGGCAACGACCTGAGATGCGCAGACAGACAGACACACACACACACACACACACACACACACACACACACACACAGAGGAACATAACCCAGCCACGAAGAGAAAGGAAGTCTTGACACACATCACAATGTGGATGAGCCTTCAAAATGCAGTTGGTCCCCAAAGGGCAAAGGCTGCTTGACCGCACCTACATGAAGCACACAATCAGGAAAGCGCAGGGACTGCTATCAGTGGCCACGAGGAGAGAAGGAAGGAGGGCAGCGTGGCGCACGGGACACCACTGCCCAGTGATGGAGTAACCCGGAGAAGAGCGGCAGGCATGACTGCACAACACGAAGAAAGTCATCCGTGTCCCCGCGGCCCTCCGCAGAAACTGTTGAACTGGCTGATGGGTGGTGTGCATGTTTTCAACACAACAAAAAAGAAATCAACAGAATTTATCTATAACCTAGGTTTTCTAAAATAACTTCCTCCACAGGTTTGTCCCTTTTCTTGTCTAGTGTTATGTTGAAATAAATGCACGTAAAATCAATAATTAAATATTCAGTAAATATTTACAGGTCATTGTAAATTATGCTCTTTAAGGACATGAGAAAAGTAAGGTTTAAATTGCCTCCCACCTGTAATTACCAGTAGGTGGCGTCATTAGTAGTTGTCATTCCACCCACTGCAACGTACCTTCCATTCACTTGCAGAAAAGGGTGGTGTTCCCCAATACTTCGAATGCTATTAATCAGTGAGGATTTATTCATATCACTTGCATTTCATTTTTTATACATATATGCAGGCAAAATATCCCACTCTGATTTCTGATGCATCAGAGAAATATCAGTCTATGCAAAGCATATGTCATGGAATCTGCGCTGGTGGATCATACATACACAGGCTCCGCCCTCCAGGGGCTGAGATGTGCTGAGCGAGAAAATGGTAGGAACGCCTACCCAGCGTAGGAGGGTGCCAGTCTCTCGGAGCCCTCACCAGCATTTGTTGTTATCTGGGTTTTGTTGTTGTTTTGTTTGTTTACTTTCCTATTAATCCTGCTGTGAGGGCATAGCTCAGTATTTTGATTTGCAGCTCTCCATTGGCTAACAATCACAAGAATGTCTTGTTGCTGAAGCACATATGTTTTCTACACATGTTAGAAATTAGGCCTTTGTCTGACATGTCATTGCTAATTTTTTTCCAGTCTGTGTGTTCTTTCACCCTCTCAGTGGACTTTCCATGCACACATGTGTAATTTTTTGGAGATCCCAGGTATGCTTTGGTTTTTTTTCTTTCTCTTTGAAGATTATGGCACGCTTCATGAATTTGCGTGTCATCCTTGCACGGGGTCATGCTAATCTTCTCCGTATTGTTCCAATTGTAGTATATGTGCTAGCGCAGCGAGCACCCCAGGTATCTGTTTTGTTTTCTGCTATTGGTGTCTTTGTGATGGTATATTCGTGTCATGTGTTCCCTACTCTAAGTTTGTCTCTATACTTTCATTGATGATCTGCATAATTCTCGGTTTCACATCTAGGTCTTTGGTCAATCTTTGGTTCGTTTTTTAAATGGTGTGAGAGATGGGTTCTGTTTCATTTTTCTAAAAATGGACATGCAGTTTGCCAGCACCATCTCCTCTCCACTTAGGGTGCTCCCCCGCTTCATCAAGGATCAGCTATACTTAGGTGGATGAATTTACTTCTGTATTCTTGCTTGTGTTCCATCGATCGACGGACCTATTGTTGCACTACTGAGGCTACACAGTAAGTTCTGAGACCAGAAAGTGGGAGACCTCCAGCTCTGTTCTCCAGCTTTGGTAATGCTTTGCTTAGCTGAGCTCTCCTTCCATTCCACTTCTGTTGTGAATTCATTTTTCCACCTCTACATGGAATCATGTTAGGATCTGGATTTGGATTGCGTCATATCTGTAGATCGTTTGGGGGTAGTATTGGCATTTTCACAATGTTAAGCTTCTAATCCATGAGCATGATAAATTCTTCTATGGCTGTAGCTTTCCTGCTTGCTTGTAGGAGTGCGTTATCGTTTTCTTTGCATAGAGTTCCCGCCACCCACCCCCAGTTACATGTATTCCTAAGCAATTCATCGTTTGAGTGGCTGTTGTAAGTGATGTCATGTTCTTGGTGTCCTGTTCAGAACTCTCTGTTGTTGCTGTCGGCGCCATTGCATTGGTTCCTACCCTTAGTAACCCAAAGCACAGCACAATGAAACACCGCCTGGTGCTGCACCATCCTGACCATCGTGCTGTGCCTGAGCCCATTGTAGCAGCCACAGTGACACCCCATCTTGGGGAGGGCCCTCTTCTTTTTCACTGCCCTTCCACTTTACCAAGAATAAATTTCTTCTCTAAGGACTGGTGTGGGCATGGCCTTCTCCTGAGGATTCTGGGAATGCTAAGGAGGACTCTGGCTATACTTCTTCCAAGACAGACCTGGTGGTCCTTTTGGCAGTCCATGGTACTTCCAATATTCTTCTCCAGCACCACAATTCAAATGCATTCATTCTTCTTAGTACTTTCTTATTCAATGTCAATTAAACGAACTTTCACATGTATATGATGCACGCTTTAGTCCTCAAAGTAACATCCTTGCTTTTCAATACTCTAAAGAGGCCTTACGTAACAGATTTAGCTAATACAATGTGTCTTTTGATCTCTTCCTGCTTCCATTAGTATCGATTGGAGATAAATGCAAAACATGATCCTTGACAACTTCAATCTTTTCTCCATTTATCATGGTGTGACTTATCGGCCCAGTTGTGAAGGATTTGCTCCTCTTCACATTGAGTTGTAATCCATATTGAAAGCTGCAAACCTCGATCTATGTCAGCTACTATTTCAAGTCTTTCTTGCTTTCAGCAAGCATGGCTGTGTCATCTGCAGATCGCAGATTGTTAATAAGCCTTCCTTGGATTCTGCTGCTGCATTCTTCTTCATATAATCTAGCTTCTCGAATGATTTGTTCAGCATAAACATGGAACAAGAATGGTAAGAGGATGTGACCTTGAGCCACACTTTTCCTGATTTTAAACTCGGCAGTTTTCATTTGTTTTGTTCACACAACTGCCTCTTGATCCACACTCGTTTCACATGAGCACAATTAAGTATTCTAGAATTCCTATTCTTCTCAAGGTCATCCATAGTTTATACTGGGCCACATAGTCAAATGCTTCGGCCTAGTCAAGACAGCACAAGTAAATCTTGCTTGTCTTCTCTGCTTTGAGCCAAGAAGTATGTGACATCACTAATGATATCTTTTGTTCTACGTCCTCTTCTGAATCCAATGTGAACCAATGTCAATTCCCTGTCAATGTACTGTTGCAACCTTTGTTGGATGACCTTCAACAAAATTTTACTTGCATGTGATATCAATGATATTGTTCTATGGTTGAGCATTCTTTTGGGTCACCTTTCTTTGGAATGGGTACAAATAAGGATCTCTTCCAGTCAGTTGGCCAAGTTGCTGTCTTCAAATTTCCTGGCCAAGATGAGTAGGTGCTTCCAGTGCTTCATCAGCTTGTGGCAACATTTCAATGGGTGTTCCATCAATTCCTGGAAGCTTGGTTCTGACTAATGCTTACAGTACAGCTTGAACTTCCTCCTTCAACACATTTGTTCTTGTTCATTTGCGACCTCCTAAATAGTGAAATGTCTCCTTGTTAGTGTAAAGGAATCCAACTGCTTTTTTTATATTGATCTTTTACCCTGCCACTGTGACAGGAATTTCAATTAGTGTCAATACTTTTCTTGCTGATATTTTAGGATTTTCTATGTATAAGATATCAAGAAACCATGGTGGTATAGTGGAGGTCACAGAGTGGACTGCGAACCCCAAGGCCAGCAGTTTAAATCTACAACAGTAGCTGCTTTGCAAGAGAGAAAGATGTGACCTACTGCTATCGCAAAGGCTTAGTCTGGGAAACGCAAAGGGTAGTTCTACTCTGTTCTGCAGAGCCACTGAGCTGGATTCAACTCGATGGCAATGAGTTTGGCTTGGAGAAACATATCTGCGAATAAAAAGAATTTATTTCTTTTTCACCAATGTGGATGCCTTTAGTCTCTCTTTCCTTTAGTGCCAAGATTCACAGCACACTGTTGAACAGGAGTGGTGTGAAGAGGTTCTACAGCATTCTTTCCCCTGCATCTTTGGGTGGACCCACTTCTCCAATACTTCAGTTAGCACTGAGTGCACTACCCAGAAACTACCCTGAATTCCAAACAGGGTTACATTTAAAGGTATAAGGGTTCAGCATAACTTTGAGGGAGACACAATTCAATCTGTAACAGGGGAAAGTGGCCAAAGAAGCCTCTCCCAAGAAAAGGAATCTGAGATGAACCCTCCTGAGAGCTGACTTCCCTGAGAATACCTGAGAGGAGCCAGACATGACAAAAAAGATTCTGCTCAAAAAGGACATGAATTGCAAGGGCACTGAGGAACCAAGAGACTCGGCTTGTTCAAGGAACAACAGGGAAGTTGACCTGGGAACATGGCAGGAGTGGACTTGGGGGGCACCCTCCTTCAAACAGCAGCTCACCCAGTGGCCATGCAATGACGCGAGATGCCATGGCAAATGAAAGCAGACGCTGTGAAGGGCGATGAGCTCCCTGCAACAACAGACTGTGCTCCCAGCACTGACATGAGTGCCTTTCTGTACAAACCCTCAAGACCGTCAAAGAACCTCCAGGTTAGTCAAAGCAACGTGGCCGTGAGACCACCCGGCGATCTGTGGTGACGTTGCTGCTGCTGCCACTAGACGGGAAGAAGAAACATTACCGAGCACTTTGTTGTGTGTACAAAACAGAGACATGCATTTGCTGTCCTTGGGTGGACCAAATGGTAAAAGCACTAGTCAACAACCAGAAAGGCTGGTGTTTCAAACCCAACCAGAGACACCGTCAAAGACCTGATGATCCACTTCCAAAAGGTCTCTGCCTGGGAAAGCCTTGGGAACACAGTGGTTTTCTGCACACGTGGAGTTGCCAGGGAGGTGTAATTAACTTGCTTCCAGCTAAGCACCACCACAGTGTACTCCTCGTTCCCCCCCAAAAGCCCCACAATTCCTGTAAGTCACTACTTTCATTGTAGAGTTGAGGGAGGGTCCTGAAACTCAAGAGAGAAAAATGGCCTTCTGAAGGCACATAGCTACCAGAGAGGCATAACTAGAACTTGAATGTGGATCCAGAGGGTTCCACGGCCCATCCTCCCGACTCTGCATCAAGTGCCACATTCTGGGAAAGACAGACCGATGACGTTAGGGTGATGGGGAAGGTCCTATCCCTAAGCTGGTCATCATGGGAGCAGACGTTGTCTTCTGGGTCATCTTCTGCTAGCAGTATGAGTGGACATAACACACACACCTACAGACACTATAAGTATGCACCCAGAACTATACGCACCCCCCAAAACACGGAGACACACAGAGCAGTGGGGGAAGGGTAAGACAGAATGAAGAAATCCAAGAAAAACATAGCTGGAAATTGTCTTCATGCCAAGTTTATTATTGTGTCCCATGGCAACAGAGGCATGCTCGCAGCCTGCGTGGTACCTCAGAGGAAAGATGAGGGCACGGCTCGCAGTGAGCCACAGTTCACATTTTCCTTTCTGGCCTCGGTAAACAAGTGACAGTGCTTTATCCCCAAGCACCCGTCACCCAAGTCAAAGGAGAAACAACATTGTTCCTGAAGGTTTTTTTTTAACCGCCGGAGTCTGTGTGCACCAGTGATTGCTGTAATTTAACCTCCAAAATAAAACAGAATCATCACTGGATGACAATTTATAGTACACTTTCAGAACTGTTTACTTCTCCCATCCTGCTCCGGTGTGATTACGATTTCCTGTTGGTGGCTGGGCTGCTCCAGGGGCGGGAGTGCTCGCCAGCCCTGCCAACGCCAGTAGCCCAGACAGGGCTCTCCCTGAAGGCACGCAAACATTTTGGATGTGAGCATCAGTTAACATCTTAATGACCAGGAAGGGCTTCAGGCTTGATCCATTCACATGGCAGAGACAGAAATCAGACTGCAGCCCAGGTGATTCAGCTGTCTGCCAGAAAGCCTGAATCCCTGAGCAAATTAATTTGAGCACACACATACACGCATGGCCAGTGTTCTGTAATCATCCATGATAGGCGATGTGCACCAAGATGCCATTTAGATTGACGTGGCTGGACTGGCTGGCTCTGTGGGGAAAGGGTCCAACATGTGCTGGTGATGCAGATAACACAAAGGCCAGGGGCTTCAGTGGAACATCATCAAGTAACTGGATCTGCAAAAGGAGACAGAGGAGGCAGAAACAATTCCCCGCCACCTGACAGGGCTTAACCTCCTGCTCTCAACAAGGCCGTCAAGTACCGGCAATCACTCCATTTTCAGTTGAGAAAGCAAAATTTGAACCA